CATCAAGAAGCGCCTTCATCTGAGATTTCAAAACATAACCAGGAGGAAGAGCATGTCTGTAGTGGCACTCTTTTCCACCATTTGGACAAGACCAAAACCAACCATACTGCTTCTTTTCCACTGCATCTAAGAAGTGTTTGCAAACCTGTACATATAGAAAGCCTGCCTTAGATTCATAACTACATTCAGAGATTTCACATTACCAAATGAATATGGCCAAAATTAGAAAAAGCATGTTATTTTCTACCTGTCACTATTTTTAATGTTTATATTTTCTCATCTCAAAGACAAAAAATAATTTCTCCTCTATTATTCTACAACTCAACCCAATTTAACTCACTAGCATAGCCTACAATAGAGAATCCAAACTAAATCCCAAATATTGTTTCACATTACAGATTCCTTACAAGAATGTCTTAAGTAACATTCAGCACCGCAAACAGCCAAACAGAGTAAACCAACAACTGAAATGAGTAAAAGTAAAAGTATCCATCCGCCAAATCTATCTACATAAGACATAAATTGATCACCTGAACTCTACATGTACTTGCATAAAGTTGTAACATACCCTATTGTCAATGACTTGTTCTTTCAGTTATCAGATTACGACATTAATGATTTAACTCTTAACATAACCCTTAGGATCAAGGATTGCAAAACTGACCTACATCACCTAAACTAGTATTAAAAGAAGACCGATGTCCCATGCAACTAAGACTGTGCCTCCCTCTTCTTTTTTTACTCCTCATGAAACATATTATTGATGTAATGGGTAATATGCCCAGAAATGCCTCCATATTCCATCCTAAATCATCAGAAACATTTAAAGGGTGGGTATGGAGGAAGGAAGGAGGGATAGATAGATGAATATCTAAAGACAGATAGAGAGCAACACATTCAAATGCAAATTACACTAAAAGCTTCTATATCAGATATAAAAAAACAATTTACGATAAGAAAACCGACATACAATTTCAGTGGGCTTATTCTGGTTATACTCATTCTTCTTTGACTCCACAACCTTTTCCAACGTCGCTTGATCCCAATCCTCCATAGTGTCTGAAAAATAATCAGTCTAGCATAAGCAAAACATGTGCGATAAATTAGCATCAGAACATTAAACAAGATATGTTAATCCCCTCACCTTCATCATCACGCTTATCACTGTAAATATCAATCTTTTCACCCTTCCTCTGGACATTCAAGTCATGCGAAAACTTGCACTTGAATCCCTTGGTACATTGCCCAAACTTGAAAAACTCGCATAATATAGACTTGGGATCAACACCTATTCAAATTCCCAATTCGATTACAAGCATATCAAAACCAATCCGCTATCGAACACAATATAATCGACCATCACCAAACAAAATTACAAAAAATGTGAGAGTTGCAGTACATACTAGTACTACATACCAGCTGGCACTTTCGGCTGACTAACAGCAACCTTAAACAAATCATTGAGCTCCTTCTCTTTGGCTTTCTCTTCCTCCTTCTTTTTCTGCAAAACCCATCAAAATTTGATAAAACCCAATTCCAACCCAAACACTAACTCCAATAAAAATAGTTAATTTACATTCTCAGCTAATTTTCTGCGTATCCAAACAGAACCCAATAGGGGAAAAACAACAGAGATATAAATCGGACCTTGGCTTTGGCTGGGTCTACTTTGGGCTGGACTGCCTGCTTGAGATTCTGGACGTACTTCTGGACGTTCTTGCTCTTGTTCTTGTTCTTGAGCCCGAAGGTTTTGTCCTCCACAACCTTCTGCTTCTTCGCCAAGTCGGCCTTCGATGCCTTTGGCGGCATGACTACGTCGATTCAACGAACAGACAAAATTAATGGAAAAAGGGGGAAATTTGAGCAACCAGTGTTTCCAAATTGAATAAAAGTTGTTAACTTCCGGTGGGGATTTGCTTAATTTTGAATCAGAGATGACGATTAGGGTTTTCGAGAGCCCTCTCTGTGCGCGAGAAGGAAGGGCGAGCGGAGGTCGAGTGAGGTGTTTTGTTTGGGTGACATAAAATGCCAACTTTGCTCGTGTCGAGTGCCATGTGTCAAAAGTCATCTCATAAGTGTTATAAATAGGCAAAATTTAGAGAGCTAACATTTGCTAAGGACATGAGCGAAGCGTGAGCAATGACGTAGCTATGTTAAGGACTATCTTGGGCTATATCCCAGCTAGCTTTTCGTAAAAAATTAAAATTTTACATGTAATTTTTATTGATTTTCGAATGTAGCCCATTATATATTTAATTACTAATCTTAATTCTTTTGATTTAACCATATAAAATTATATAATACAGTTTACAAACCATCTCTTTTTATTACATCATGTTTCTCATCACTTCTTGTACATGTACAAGTTTGGATTTGTTTGAATTTTAATACGTATTTGTTTAATAACGAAAATTCTTAGCTTACCTTGTGAAATTTTCTTAAGCTAGAGCACACTCTGAAAATTACAATATTAAGTTTCTTTGTTTATAAAGATTTAAATCTTTAAGCTAGCTCACCCAATGAAAATTTCCTAGCTGCGCTATTGGAAGCGGGTCCAATTTATCACACCGTTTAGTTTCGTAACTCTAACATAAAAGGATGGCAGGTAAAGAGAGAAAGATAGGAATATTGATATTATTGTTTTCACTTCTTTTCTTTTTGATGTGTATTGTGATCACACACAGAATGCTTTTTAAATAAAGCCACACCTGTGAAAACTTACAAAGGTGAAATAAGAGCTCATTAAAAAACCTCATACAACAACATGGTCACTATTCTAAAGTTTTCCTCACATTTGGCTAAAAACACGTAGGCATTCACTCCCACAACTTTTTTTTTTGAATCAAAAGTTTACTTTATTTATAACACAACAGATAGATTACATAAGAGAATGCCCAAATATAATAAACACACAAACAAAAAACATGGGCCTCCACAACTTTTACAACAAGAAGTTTGTTTGTTTGTTTTTTTTTTTTTTTTTTTTTTTTACCTCAAATTGCTTTTAGAGCTTTGAAGTTTGAAGATGTCTAACTTCAATGTTCAAAATCTACTTAAGGTTTTTAAGCCAATTTGGTATGTTTGCAGACTCTAGACTTACGTACACCTGCGTTTAATTCTTATGGAGAAAATTTCAAATGTGTTTTGTAAGATAGAATGATTGAGACACGTATATTGTATGAAAAATGGAAGACGGAAACTGTCATTTGCTACTTATACAGGCAATTGCAGATGTCAGTCATTGTTTCAATTAGGGCATGTGATCTATACGATTTGGTTAACTTAACCAATCTCAGAAAATTGGCGTTAAAGCTATGTGACAGGGAAAAAACAATCAAGGAATTAACCATCAAAAGGATGGTTCCTGAATTATGTAGCAGCCTTGGGGGAGGGGGAGAGGATTTTTACAAAATCCAACATGGGCATTCTGTTATGATTACACCTGCTGTGAGTAGAGAATTTTTGTGGAATCAAATGGTAAGTTAAATGTCCTTTTGTTCCTGCACAAATTAATTTTCCGTTGCGTTTTTAAGATGACATTTTGGAATGACAATAACAACTCTTTTTTCGTTTTCTTATTTTTTCCCCTTGTTTTACAGATACGTATGGGGCTGGGCACGGCAATTTTAGGCAGATGTCAAGCAGCTTATGCATAATCTCAACGAGTTAAGTGAGAAACTCTGTTCCTTGTTAATGAGTAAATAAATGAAGTTAGCAGTGGCACACATCCATTATCTAGGTGCTATATCTAAGTAGTACCCTTTCAAGCAACACTTAAATTCAACATGCTTCTACTAAAAGCACTTCTAGCAAAGTATGCTTACGCACAGAAGGGTTCTATACTTCTATTGGATGCATTTTCCATGTCTAACAAAAGGGTTTTATTTGGATGATTTGCTCCATTCCTGTATTGAAGAACATCGTAGGATTATTAATTTTTTTTGTTTTCGTTGCCCTTTGTAACATCATCAACTCCCTTTTCTTTCAACTCTAAGTTTCATACTATACTTGGAATGATCCAGATCAGCTGCCTGCTTGTACACAAACAGGCTGCATTTCTTCCGAGCGACTTGGAACGGGCACTTTCATAATTTCTCCAGCAAGCATCTTACAACAGGTGAGACTGGGATTCCTGTCATGTTCAAATTGTTTAGCACCTACCTGTGTGCAGACGCGGGTGGGTGTAGCCACATTGGCTATGGCAAATTTCTCCCACTATGCATTCGAGTTGGAAACACTACTGGCACTACATTTAATTTAAAGTTGAATATCGCTTGTTAAAAAGAATCTTGAACCGTACACCATCGTGTCTCACAGAATATATGATACAAGAGTGCTTATGCATATTTGAACCACTTACAATGTACACTGATATGCATATATCATTAGATTCATTACCATACTTGGTTGTGGATACTGGAGATAAGTCTCTCACCTGCAAGTCTAAAAATTGTGTAGAACTTATAACTTGCATTTGATTGCATATTGTGTTACGAGTGAAATGAATTCTATGCGCGCTAAGAAGTTCCATCCCTTTTGTTCTTCTTGTAGGTTGTGGATAATGTAGAAGCGGCAGTGGACTACATTCTGTGGAGGAAAGGAACTTCTTAGCGCGGAGTTCATTTCACCCACCTGCAGAAAATTTACTTGTGATGATTTTATGCAGACTGTTTTTTGCTTGTATAGTTGTATGGCAGATATAAAATTGGATTGACCGTCTCTTCAAAATATAATTGGCAACTTGCATCGGAAACTTCACTATCATATATCGTTGACTTTGTAAAGGTCTTTGTAAAATTAAATTAAGAAATCTCGAGTGCTTTGCTTCTTGTTGAAGAATTACAAAATATTAATTTGACTTTGCAAAATATTTAATTTGAGTTTGAATCAGACAGGCAGGATTATACTAATCTTTGGTGGCATTATTTCCTGGATCTAAAAATCAGAAGGAGGAAAACTGCTTAACATAGTTGTTGATCGTCTGAAGAAGAGAGATTAATATGGCCGATGCTGTTGTTTTAATGGTGCTTGAACGGCTCACAGACTCAATCATTCCGGAATTGAAACTCTTGGGTGGAGTAGGTGATCAGGTTGAGCTTGTACAAACCGAGCTACAATTTATGCAAGGTTATCTGAAAGATGCAGATGCAAGTCATGGACATGATGATGATGGAGTACGCACTTGGGTCGCAAGCGTTAGAGATGCTGCTTATGATCTGGAGGATGTCGCTGAAGCTTTTGTCTTAAAAGTTGCAACAAAGAAGTGGCCTACTGTGCAGATAAAAATGGCTTCATCTACCAACCGCTGTCATTGAATGAAGATGAAAGTTGGGAACTGTTTGAGAAGATAGCAATGTTTCAAATGGAAGATACAAGTATGTTCTCTTCTCACACAAAGCTTTTATCTCTACTTTTCTTATTATTTATCAATTGAATAGGGATTATATCGTTTCATTTGACACTAGAGTTTGTATGGAATAACGACATATCAAATCACACCGCGGATTCAAGAATTTACTGAACCCTTGATCTAGCATAGAAATAATTTGTTATTTGTGTAGTTCCAATTTCTAGTTCCCGAGAAACATAGGTAGTTAAATGTTCTGGTTTTAATAGTTTCTCAGACCCTGAAATTTATGCAAAGAAGAAAGATCTAGGAATGAAGATGCTTCGACATTGTGAAGGTTTGCCATTCGCCATCACTGTGCTTGTAGGACTTCTATCTAGAAAAAACTCCGTTGATGAGTGGGATATGGTACATATGAATTTCTATGCATACATAAGGAGAGCCACTGACCTTGGACCTGAATACGAAGGTGAAGAATCCGGTGGTGTATTACGGTTATTGGCTTTGAGTTATGATAACTTACCATATCAGTTGAAACTATGCTTTCTCTATTTAGCCCATTTTCCGAAAGATTATGAAACACCGGTGAATAGATTGACTCAACTATGGATGGCTGAAGGTTTTGTATCATCAACATCCATGGAAAAAATGGAAGATGTATCTTACGGGTGCTTAAGTGAGTTGGTAGACAGGTCTATGGTTCAAGTTGGACAACATGGTTTAACAAAGAAGATTAAGACTAGTTGTCTCCATGGTCTTATGCGAGATTTGTTATGGTGAAGGCAAAAGAGTGGAACATTCTTCGTATTATCAATTACTCTGCAGCCACAGTAACCAAGGAAACAACGAGCGGTAGAGTTCAAAGACTTGCCATCTATTTGGAAAAGGAGCTTGATTTTTATTATCTAAACAGAGATGAAAGAGATAGACATCTTAGGTCTATGCTTTTCTTTGTCCCAAAACAGTTTATTTTGAACCTAAATTTCGGTCAAAGAGTACTACGGTCACTGTTAAATAGCTACAAACTTCTCAGAGTTTTGAAGTTTGAAGATATTTTCATGAGAAGAAGCTTCAAGTTACCAGGTGAAATTGGGAATCTGGTCCACTTAAGATTTTTAAGTCTAAGGAATACTAAGATGCAAGAGCTTCCATCGTCTGTGGGTAATTTGGTATGTCTGCAAACTCTAGATTTACGCGGCACTAATGCTCATTCAGGGTTGCTGCTGAAAGTGCCAAACGTGTTGTGGAAGATGGAGAAATTGAGACATGTGTATTTACCCTCGAATCCTCGATAATAAGAGGAGAAGAGAGACTGTCATTTGCCACTCATGCAAGTAATTTGCGGACGGTGGTCAATGTTTCAGTTTCGGCATCTGATCTGTATGATTTTGTTAACTTGACCAACCTTCGAAGATTGGAGGTAAGGCTATTTGACGACGAAACCATCGAGAAGGGGAGCCTTACATTTGACAATCTGCAGTCTCTATCAATGGCATCTTTTCATGATGGAGCGTGGAACGTAGTATTAAGCTGTCCTCATATATACAAGCTGCGAGTAAAGGGACGTATCAGACAGTTACCAGAAGACCTCTTGTTCCTTCCAAACCTCACCGAGCTAACACTCTGTGGAATTCATCACGATCGTCTCAAGGACGATAACATAGAAATACTAGAGAAGCTGCCAAGCTTACGAATGCTTTTCCTGGATAATAATGCTGCCCTCGGCTATTTTCCCGGACCACTTGTTTGCTCAGCAGGAGGCTTTCTTCGTCTTGATTTCCTTTCTCTTCACAGCTTGATAGAATTAAAGGAGTGGAGGGTGGAGAAGGGAGCCATGCCTAGTCTCTCCAGGTTGCACATTGAGCGTTGCTCGCCCTCGTTTACAGTTCCAGACGGCCTTCGGTATGTTACTACCCTCAAGGAATTAACCATCAAAGGGGTGACTCGTGGATTCGGTAGCGGGCTTGAGGAAGGAGGAGAGGAATTTTACAAAATCCAGCATGTGAACTCTGTTTTGATTACGGATTTTTTCACTTCCCCTTCACTTGAATATTGGAGGACTTAAACAGTTCGACTTTTCTGAATGACGAGCTTGTTTACCATTTTATGGGAGACACTTGATGTTGACATGCTTTTAATAAAAGCACTTTTAGCAAACTACGCTTATAAAAGAATTACGGTGAAGTTGAATGTATTTGAAGACTTCTTGTAAAATTGTTGATAACTTGAAGCAAAAATAGGAGATTTCTTTTATTCGAGCATGTCAACATTCACTCCAAATTTACAATTCACTCGACATAAATATCAACCCGTTTGAGATTATTTATATAGTGAGAGATGTCAAATCTAAGTGTTTTTTATCTGTCATCTACTGAAAAAAAAAAATAAATAAATAAAAGTTAGTGATTGCCTAATTATTTCCAACAGGACTCATTTGAGAGTACGTTTTTAGAAAATATTTTTTAATTCTATAATTTGAAATGTTTTTTTATTTTTAAAGAATCACTAGTTATATGCTTCTGTTTTTTTTCAAATTCACTTACATTTTACAAAAGATTGATTTCAAAAACATTTTCATAGAAAATGCTCTCATTCGTATTAAAACACTTTCAACGAGACCGAAGTTCTTGATATGTAATCACAACACAATATAATCACCGGAATCTTCCACCCAATAAAAACAAATAGACCCGCTTGTTACTTGTTACTGGAGAGCTCAAAGATTCTATGGAAGCTGAAAGCAAGGGTGTTGTCTCCGCACTCAAAGGGGACTATATTGTGATATCAGAGGTGGGACGAGGCTCTTTCTCCACCGTTTGGAAAGCCGTGCACCGGCAAAGCGGCAAGGTGGTGGCTCTCAAGCAGGTCCACCTTTCCCGACTCAACCGCCACCTCAAGAACTGCTTGGATTGCGAGCTCAATTTCTTATCCTCCGTTAACCACCCAAACATCATCCGCCTCCTCAATGCTTTCCAGGTTTTCAATCACCCTCCTCGCCTTTCAATTGATTCGATTATAAAAGTTTTTCTTGTGATTTTTATTGTGAATTTGTTAATTTGTTTTCGTGAAGTCAAGCTCATATGTTCGTTGTAGGATGAAAGCTGCATATTCATGGTGTTGGAGTTTTGTGATGGGGGAAATCTGGCTGCTTATATCCGGCAGCACGGGCAAGTTGAAGAACAGATTGCCAAGAGATTTATGCAGCAGCTTGGTAGCTTCTTAACTTTTTTTGCATCTTTACTTGTCTTCAGGCCGCTTTGATACTCCGGTCTGAATATAATCAAATTCTTGTTTTGGTTGCAGGAGCCGCGTTGAAAATACTACATTCGCACCACATCATTCATCGAGACTTGAAACCGGAGGTAAAAACAAGAGTTTATGGAAAGATGGTAACAAAATGCAATTAGAGATCTTGAAATCTATGCTAAACAATTGGTTTTGTTATACAAATTGAATGCATATTGATTGATTTCAACCTTTCGGATTGCATTGCACCCTTAATGTGGAATTGAATCGTAAATCTCTATCAGAATTCTGTAAATCGGCTGAATTGTTGTATTTTGTATTACTAGAACATTCTACTCTCTGGCACTCAAGATGATGCGGTGCTAAAGGTAGCTGATTTCGGCCTCTCAAGGTAAACTCTAGCAGAGAGATCCATATGCCGAAATTCATCCGCTAACCCAGTTTAGGATGTGTTTAGTATGATTTAAAGCAACCAACTGTGGTGGTTTCGTTCCTTATTAGCTTATCTTTGCTGCCGTGTACAGAAGTTTACATCCAGGTGATTATGCGGAGACAGTTTGTGGATCCCCGTTGTACATGGCACCTGAAGTTCTTCAGTTTGAAAGATACGATGGGAAGGTACGGTCTTGTCTATAACTTGTGTCATTTTCCCCTTTCAATCACGATAAATCAAAATTGACGGATTCAGTTTATAGGTTGACATGTGGAGTATTGGCGTAATTCTTTTCGAGCTTCTCAATGGTCGCCCTCCTTTCCCTGGTAGGACTAATGTTCAGGTACTAACTTCCCGCTTTTTGTCGGAAAAGGTCCTTTAGTCATGCTTGGCCAAATCTTTGATAAATATACTTTCCAGGTGCTTAAGACCATCAAGTCATCCACATACCTTCCTTTCGACGAAGTCATCCTTTCTAGATTGCATCCTGACTCTGTCGATATGTGTTCAAAACTGTTGTCTCCAAATCCAGGTTTAGCATTTTACCAGCCGCTCTTTCATATTATTATTGTACTTATCGCCAAAACTTGCTATACATTATGTTTAGCAATTCTCTGACGTACTGATGCACTACTGCAGTTAAGCGCCTGTCCTTCAGCGAATTCTATTCGCACAGTTTTTTGCAAGGTTTTTTAGAAGAGTTGAGATGTGAAATAATTACGGGTACACAAATGTTCTAGCACTCTGTACAGAAGATGATTTTACTGATGTGTATGATTCCCAATACGATAAACTGCACTAGAAGAGGTGTTGAACAGATATGTCAAGACCTCCAAGCTCCATGGCTTTGCCATGGATCGGGAGAAGTGCAATTTTACTGTTTTAGACTGATTTGGTAGTAACTGTGTAGAAATCATAAGTGAATACCGAAAGTCCGTTGATTCCAATAACTCTGAGTTACTTGCTTCTGTAAATGGACATGTTCATGATATAATAGAAATTGAAATCCTCCTACGAAAGCGAGACTTTATGAGTATTATTCTCGTTCCTGTCATGCATCAAGTAAAATTGATTTTGCAGGCATAGCTTTGATTCGTATTTTCGAATTTACACATAAAATATCATCAGGCATCAGCAAGCGAGATACAAAAGTCAGCTACATTTTATTTACGAGATCATTCACATGCACAGGCTACAGATCTCAGAGATTAGGACATAGCCAACAACGAAGTCAAGGATTCGCTTCCAAATTGCGGTTCGTGTACTCTACATTCTCACACACAATTTCAGCAGTGCTTGTTTAAGATTGTTTCAATACCGCCTTGAGCTATAGGGTGGTAAGTCTCGCGAGCGGCTGCAAACACCTGCTTGGCCAGAATCTTCCCTTCTTCATTTCCATTGCCTTCCACAAGAGCCCCGTAGAGGGAGACAAGGTACTTCTTCCTCCCAACTTCCTTCAAAGTTCTCTCCACCTCGCCCAAGTAGTCTTTGCAGTTGGAAGCAATGGCCAGCAGGAGAAATGTCACCTTCACATCATAATCTTTTGATTCTGCCAGCCTGAAGCGCGAGTTCAACTCTACAACCTGCAAATCAAGTCACAAGAGCTAAGAAATTAAGTAACTATGCGTGTCGAAGGCTGCTATGGAATCAAGTCGTAGAAAATAAGTACCTGTGAAGGTTCAATAGGCTTGGGGAGGTTCTCCAAGTAGAGTTCCCACTCCTGCCCTCTCCAGTCAGCAACTTCATCCTCCCCTGGCATCCTACCAAGCTTAAATTCATTTGCCATGGACACAATCTTTGCATATATGTTAGAAACCGGTTCATACGCATCAGGAGGGATACCAGTGCCCTCAGTCCACACCACTAAGTCAACCTCTTTCTCTATTCCAGGTAGGTTTGCCTTGAGAAACTCGAGAAACGTATCGGTATCAATTGACTGGAACTTGAAGGTGGCAATGTATTTCTTCAGAAACTCATCAAACGCAGGCCTTCCAACCTTCAGATTCCGAAAAACAAGTGCCGATCAGATCGTCTTTACAGGACAACATCTAGAAACAAAAGAAGTTACAACTTCAAGATACCTGACGTTCGATGCGCCATAGAAACTGGAAACCCTTTTCATAAGGGACTCGAGAATACACATCATCTGGATCAACTCCATCCTGGTTGGTTTTCAGCCTTGTGACCTCCAAGCTATCCTTGAACCTCTCCATTTCCTTGTGCAAACCCCGCCAGCCGATTCCAATGTTCAGTGCAGCTCGGTCCTCGCCTTGAACAGCCTCAACAATTCTCCTATCAGCATATGTCGTGAAACCCTGCAGCAATAAGTAAATATTAACACCCTGACATCAACTGCCAATGCTCATTAGTTTAAGCCCGAAAAGTTGAACCGGTGAATGTTTGAATGTAAATTCAGTACCTCATTCAACCAAAAATGCTCGTTAGTTTTGTTGGTGATCAAGTTCCCAGTCCAGCTATGAGCCAGCTCGTGCGCCACCAGCCGCGCGCCGCTGGCGTCGCCTTTGAGCACCGTCGGCGTCACGAACGTCATTCTCGGATTCTCCATTCCAGCATACGGGAAGCTCGGGGGCAGCACCAAAAGATCGAACCTTTCCCACACGTACGGCCCAAACAAGGCCTCCCCTTGCCTGATCATGTCCTCGGTGCTCGCGAACTCCATCACCGCCGATTCAAGCACCGCCGGCACCGCCTCAGAGTAAACCCTAGTCCTCGGGCCCACCTCCCGGAACCCCAGCTCACCGACGGCGAACGCGAACAGGTACGGCGGGATTGACTGCTCCATCACGAACTCCTCGACGACCCTGTCCTCAGAGCACCACAAGGCGTCGCCGGAGACCAGCGCCGACCCCTCGCCGGCGATCGGGTCGCGGCGGGAGACGTGACGCGCGGACATGACGGCGGAGAGCTGGCGGGGGACGTTGAGCTTGGCCGCGTAGCGTAAACGCGCAGCGGGAGTGTCCTGGCAGGGGAAGACGGAGCGCGCGTGGATGGCGTGGCATTGGGTGTAGACAAACGGCAGCGTCTTGTTAAAGGTCTGGGGAGGGGAGAGCCACTGGAGGGCGGAGGAGGAGGGGGAGGTGGAGTACAGTATAAAGACGGAGGCTGCGTTGGAGAGGGTGAAGGTGAGGTGGCAGCCTTTGATTGGGTCAGGATGGGAGATGACGTAAGAGAGAGGACGGGAGGGTTTATGGGGATCGATGACGGAGTGGACTGTGAGGGCACGGATGTCGAGGGAGAGTGGGCCGGAGTACGGGGCGGGGAGGGTGAGGAGGGCGGAGGCGTGGATGGTGGAGGAGGGGAAGTCGAAGAAGAAGGAGAGGGAAATATGGGTGGCGAGTGGGTGAGTCGAGTCAGTGAACGAGTGAGGGTCGATGGGCGCCATCGGGAAATGCTTGGGCTTTAGAGCGTGGAACCGGAAACGGACAAATAAGGAATTTAAATAGACAGAGAGCAATAAACAATATTTCTTCAGTTTTCTGGTTATTATTTTGGCTATGTCTAGATGAAATTTTAAAGGTTCGATTCATTGATTGAGTGAATTTGATAGAATGAATCCGGAGATGATCCATTTTCATTATTTTGGCTTTGCCTTTCAACATTCTGGAGGGAGAAGAAAATCGTACACCGGCATGTATATAGGGTAAAGTTTTAAGATTATTTACTAAGAATTTGATACTTTTCTTTTTCTTTTTGAAGTCTCAGATTCTTTCTTAAGCGTGAAAATTCGGCTATGGATAGAATGACATTCCTAAGTAAATAAAGGAGTATAACTTTTTTCTAAAGTGGTGAAAATTCTTGTACGTTTCGAATGACGTGTATCAAATAAACAAAAGAGTATAATTTCTTTGTAAAGAAGTAAAAATTCTGCCACGTTTCAAAAGACATGTACTGAATAAATAGAAAATTGTAGCTTATTTCTAAACTGGTGAAATTTCTGCTATATTTTGATTGACATTCACTAAATGAAGAAAAAATTATAGGTTTTTTCTAAAGCGATTAAAGGGTATAAATTAGAAAAGAGTGTGCTATCCACACATCATTTTTACTTCTCACATATATCTGGTTAATTTCTGTCATTTGATCTTCTTCAATTCATTTGATCCGACACTCGAAAATTAGAAGGATGTGTGAGAAGTAAAAAAATGTGTGTGGATATCTCACCCTATTAGAAAATCTCATTTTTATTGGGTTTGTGAATGACTCTTTAATAGATAACACTAGAAATTTGCACCCGCGCGATGCTGCGGGATTGAAAATCATATGAGACATTTTGCTAAACCTTATCATGAACGGAACAAATTTAGATACTAACAAAAAATATAAAAATCCATTTTTTCAAAGTGCAAAGAAAGAGAAATTGTTTATTCAAAAAGTTGGACCAATGATAAAATTACAAATGCAGTATTGAGTATATCAGTCAAACAAAGCTTGCCACATGCTAAACAATGTTGAAATACATCATTAGCTTTTTCAAGTGTTATATGCCATGAATGTAATTGGATAACAGACTTGTTCCTAGCTTGAGGTGCTTCCAATGGAAAATTGACCTTTCAAGTGTTATATGCCATGAATGTAATTGGATAACAGACTTGTTCCTAACTTGAGGTGCTTCCAATGGAAAAATTGACCTTTTGTTGTACTCTCTTGGACAGTTGTGAATACAACTACAAAAATAATAAAGACAGCCAATGATTCAAAAAAAAATATGCATAAAAAGTTCAAAATTGAGTTTAGGGAGGGAGGGAGGGAGGGAGGGAGAGAGGTGAGGTCACCTTATAACCGGAGATCAAATGTATTTTTTTCCTATTATTGAGGTGGTAATTCGACTTGTGAAATTCTGAAATCAAACATTTAAATAAAGTTTAATCAAAATTTAGTACGAAATGTTAATTAGAAATGTGTTACAATGGAAGCAAAAAAGATTGAAACTTGTCTAAGTGATGTGTACAATTTTACCATCTGTTTGTGAAAAATATACCGATGTGACATGCCATATGTTGGTCTTGCCTTCTTGAAAGTAATATTAGTCGTTGATTGCCAGGTAGCATAAATCTGTACAAAATTTTATAAATTATGAGAAAAATTATTATGTCAAACTTGTGTGCTAAAAAATAATTTTTTCTATATTGACGCAAGTTATGATTTTAATTTGTATATACCTTGGTGGAGTAATTCTGTGTATGAGTTTCTTATATTCATCATCCATGTTATGTGAAAAGCTGATTCCAAGTTCTGCAGAAAGTCACAAAAAAATGAAATATAAAATTGGAGCAAAGATTCAATTATACAAATTTACACTTCTAAACACATATATATATTTAAATAAAGAAAAATTTGAATAAAGAGGCACTAACATTCCTCGATGACATACTCCTAACATATGAAAAACATATAATTTTAAACAAAAAAAAGGTACAAAAAATACCTCAACAAATCGTTTGAGGTGGATGATCACAACATTTTCTCTTCCCTTTATCCTCATACTCTTTACCCACGTTCATGCATGTACAATGCTCAAACACAACCCAAATTAGTTCAAAGGAAATATGCACAACCCAAGAGAAATTAATTAATTCAAATAATTATTCACTTCCTCACAACCCAAATTAATTCAAATGAAATCTGCACAACCCAAAGTAAGAGATCAAACGAAATATGCACAACCCAAATGAAGAGATCAAACTCTAATTCTCTCAAAAAAGCCATTATTCCTAATGCCACCTCTCTTTTTGGCACCCTATCCATTCTGTCAACAACCGATACAGAAACAAATAAGTCCAAAAACACAAATATACCCAAGAAGTAAATGTACACAACACAAATCAAACCAATCAGATAACTTTATTTAAATAGACCAAAATGAGTAATAAGTCATTGAACCCTCACTTCACCATTCTAAGCTTTTCCATATCTATATGAGGGTAGAAATTCAACCCTCACTACTTTCTTTTTTGAGAGTTCTGCATACTAATTGGAGGAAACCAAGGAATTCGAAGCTTTTCCATACCTCGGCTTATATTTTGAGGGAATTTAATGTGTTCTTGGAAATTGGTAAAAGCGATTGTGGAGGAATAGGGGAAAAGTCCACTGTCTCTCAAGCTCTCCCTTTGAACTGCTGTAAAAGAAACTCTCACATCCACCATTCCCCCTATTCCAATTCAAAAAATTTATATTAAAAATTTTAAGAAAAAACTCAATAGAAAATCACTAAATAATTCAATAAATTTGGAATTTTTGTTATTTTCCTAAATAAAAAAAGGTGGAAACTTTACCTGAGGAAGTGAAAGCCAAGCTGACGAAAGCAAGGCAGATAGTGCTGCAGATGCTATGGAGGGACAAAATCAGAACCGATCCGATTGAATAAATTAGTCGGAAAACTCAGGATGTGATCAACTTGTTCGTTGCCGAGCTGCATCCACACAAAAACCAAACAAATTATTCCCAACATCCCAAATCCCAATAACAAACAATCATACAAAAAAATCGCCAATTAGATTCAATAGCTTACCACAATGTCATGTGACGAACTCTGATCACTGTCATCGATCTTCATCTGCTACCAAAGCCCATACAAAAAAAAATCTCAGGAAAATGCGAGAATTCTTGAGAAACTTCAAAATTTTGGGCGAAGATGGTGTTTTTTCCCGATTTTGTTGGAGGGCTCGAGGGTTTTTGGGATTTGTTGGTTTCAGGTTGTGTTGGCCCTAAAAACTACAAAGCCTACGTGGCACGCAGGCCGAGTAATCTATAAGCTAACTACGTCCTTCGGTGAATGCGGGGCGTGCCAACTCGTCGGTCGAGCTCGACCGAGGAGTAAATTTGTTGATGTTGCGTTGGGTACGCGGCTGACTTCTGCGTCTTGCGATTGCGGCCGAGGAAGGAACACGTCTCGACCTCTTGGGCCCTCGAACCTGAAGACAAGGCTACTATTTTTACGAAGTTCAATATCAGATTCGGCTTTCAACATGCCGAATGTAATAACTTGTAACACCTCACTTCGCCGAGAAGGCTGATGAGATGACCTCGACCAATAAGGATTCAGAAATCCTTCTCGACCGGGACTTGGATAGGTAATCAATCGTTCTCGCCGCAGTGCTGTTGATGCCAATGGAAGATGTGTTAGCGAAAAAAGAAAATAAAAAAATCTCAAGGTGTTGAGAGTTTGCGCAAGGCAGTTGTGTGTTGAATTCCAGGTCCTTTTCCGTTGCCACTGCATCTGTATTTATAGCACTGAAGTACTTGCTCTGCAAGGTCAGATGATGTTGCAGAGTTTAATTGCAATTTTAATTCTTGAAGTTGATTCGTATCAGAACCCAGAAACCAAGGCTATCCTTCAAACTGAGCCGTGAGATTTGTTCCAAGACTTTTCAAACTTATCAGTCCATCTAGGCTTATCACATCACATTGTCAAAAACCTATCCGTAGCCATGCTTTATCCCATTAAGATTCCCAAAATAACCTACATGCTAGGCTTTGAATAATATTTATCTAAACAACCATCCATTATCTATATATATATATATATATATATATATATATATATATATATATATAATATTGTATGTGGTCTAGGCCATCAGATATCACGCCCTCCATCAATCCGCTTTATATATATATATATATATATATATATATATATAATTGGTAGTCTTTCACAGGGCATGGACACTAACCCCATCATCAATTTTTATGATCTGACAACACCAACACCACAAGTCATCAATCTCTACTGTCGTGCATGCATAATAAAAAGATAATTCACCATTAAAAGATAATATTATGATTAAAATCGCAATGTATCTTTCAATAATAATTATCTCAACTATCCTATCATCCAACGGTTGAGAGCCATGTTCATCAACGGCTTTGATCGCACGAACCGATAGTGTAAAATCGGGCCTAAACAGGTTGAGATAAAAGGGAAGCAAATGGAAAAGTTATTGAAACATTTGAGAGAGCTCGAGAGATCTGAGAGAGAAAAGAACATGCTTGCACCATCCCCAACACTTGCTTCCCCTCCCAGATGGTTAACACGCGTACATCCAGCCTCATTTCCTTCCACAATAACCAACACGCGTACAATGGGGGTAAATACGTGATTTCACTGTATAACAGAGGAAAAAGGCTGAGAATTAGGTAGCAAATGAGGGACAATTTCGTCAAATCACTGTTAATGAACAGTGACTTCAAACTGAGTTTTAGTATATATAACTAGTTTTTAGTGCCCGCGCGTTGCCGCGGGTTGTGAAAAGTTGTGTTACAAAAGAGGAATACCAATAATAGTAAAGACATTGGAAAATCATTATACATAAAAGATTAAATTTGGAGACCATTAAGATAGATATTACAGTTATCCATTTGATTGTAGCAGTTATCACATTGTAAAATTAACTGTCAAGATTAACCATGATCCAAACGCTTATAATCCAATCTAGTAAGTCTGTCATTAACTATCTGTATAAACATTTTACCCTGAGGTTACAACAGCAAAGAAAACAACCAAAAGAATTAAAGAAATGAAAAACTATGTCGTCAGCTAAAAGAAAACACATTTTTAACTGCTATTAAACATGCTGCAAAATCCATCAAATTTTTTTTAGCTCCACCAATACTTTTCCAACTACACATAATTTATGTTCATACTTAGCTAACACAACTGAATTAAGAGATACAAATTATGAACGAAGAATCTGTGCAAAATCTGTAACAGTGCAAAAAGACAAACATCATCAACTGGAATAAAAAATTATACATAATTAACCTAGCAGATGAAACCACGCTCATTAGAAAAACGGATAAAAAATAGTTTCAACACATACTCCAATTGGTGCTCTGATTTTTTCCCAAAAATTATAAACAAATTTTAGGAAACATTAAATTTTTGTCAAAATCCAATCACTTTTGTAATCTCCAGCCAAACACGACAGACACATTTTCATCTGCTATTCAAACAACTTATTGATCTATTAACTGCCTTATCACTTCTGAATGATTACCATCACAAAAATGTTTACCTAATCCAATCTATTACATCCATTGCTCAGCATTTGTATAAGCATATTAACCTAAGATCAAAACAACAAACTGAAGAACCAAAAAAATAAAACAAACGAAAACAGCGACATCACCTAAAACGAAATACACTTTGATGTCACATTCAAAGAACCTGTAAAATGTATTAATAATAACACACACTACACGTTGAGAGAAGTTAATCATTTTGTGTTTCAGCAAACAACAATATTGTGTTTCAAAATGATTCAACATTAGGTAAGAAATCAAGACATTAATCAATCTCAGCACAAAATGCCAACACCGTTATTGGCTACATGAGATTAACTTGCACTCTGTTGAGGCAAAAAGAAGAGAACAACGGTCATGCATCACCGGCACAATCGAGTCCACAATCTGAAATTTTTGCAATCACCCATTAAAGTGTGTTTAACTATTAAAACAAATTCACTGTCAAATTTTTTTAATTTGCTGCAGGTTCATTTTTGGATAATAAAATTTAACTTCATTTTCTTGCCTGTCAATCGATCTTTACATTTTTCAATCACTCAGTTTTTGTTTTTACATAACTTGGAAATAACACAAATTTCCTTCAAATTAAATCAAAGAAAACATGAAAGCATTAAACACAAACAAAATACAGCATAACACAATTCTTACACCACAGGAAAAACCAAAACTCATCTCTCCAAAACCCTTGAAGGGACGAAAGGAAAACACTCACCAATAACAAACACGGCTTGCAAACCTGCACACAAAAGCACCAAACAACTAAAAATTAGTTTGGGACGAAACCAAACAAAAAAAAAAAAGAAAAATTCCAGACTCAACCAGAACGAAGAACCATACCCAAAAACCCAAGATGGTAGCAAAACCCCCAAATTTCCAAAACACAGCTGCAAACAGGAAACCCATCCACAAAAATGAAAAACGGTAAGGAACAAAAAGAAATACCTAATATGAGAAAGGCAAACAACTAACCAGGAGAATCCACCCTTTATAGATAGAAAAACCTTCGAACCCAACCAAACAACCGAAAGAGCGCAAACCACCAGTAGTGTTTTTTCCCAACAAACTAACACCACGCTGCTAGACACAAAGAAGAAGCAGTGGCTGGCTTAAAACGAAAACCGGGAAAGATTCAAAATCGGAAGAAAGCGATTGGCAAGAGCGGGAGAAGGAGAGAAAATAACAATGAAAAATCTGAAGACGAAAGGGAGAAAAGAAGAAGAAAAGTAGGTAGACCAGCTAACTCCGATGACCAACACCTGTCCACCATTATGAAAACAAAAGGGAGAAAAGAAGAAGAAAAGCACGTAGACCAACTGACTCCAATGACCAACACCTGTCCAGAATGGGCAAAATAGGGTTTTTACTGTGCGAAAAACTGAAGAGAACACCAAAACAGAGAAAAAATGGAGGGGCAAAACGGTCCACACACTGGTCATCCACAGTGACCAGGGGGTTTGAGTTTTAGTATATATGATTTCCTTAGCATAGATCTTTATTTTATTTTATTTCCGAAGAATTTTTCATGGGCTCCATATCATCTAATTTGTGTTGTTTACGTATTAGGCTTTAAAATTCATCGTAGCGTGTTGAGAATATCAATCCACCCACATAAAAAAAAAAAAAAGAACTTTGATGTACTTATAAGTAATTGGAACCTTATATTGCCAATTAGTTTTTGTAGACATCGAAATTTCTATAAATAAATGTTGACCGATAAATCAAAGTTTCAACACTCATGTATTACATAAATTTTACACGTAGCGTGTGTCTAAACAAAAAATCGAGAATCATCGGAAAAGTCATCAAACATGACACGTGTCAACACCTGGCAGAAACGACTTATTTCATCTGGAATATTATATTCAAAATTAGGCTTTAGAAAATTCTATAAATAGAAGCCAAATTCATTCATTTGAAGGGGGAATTGATATTAGGCAAAAACCTTGAAGCTCTGAAACTCTGAAACTTCGAAGCTCTCAAGCATCCAGGTTCCCGAAGAATCAAGAAAGCGTTTTTCGTTCTTTGTTCATCGTTCTTCCAAGATCAAGCCCCAACGGCCCTTGGATCAACAATCCACCAATTCAAGATCAAGCCCCGACGGCTCTTGAAGAAAGTGTTCTTCGTTCTTCGTTCATCGTTCTTCCAAGATCAAGCCCCGACGGCCCTTAGATCAACAATCCACCAATTCAAGATCAAGCCCCGACGGCCCTTGAAGAAAGTGTTCTTCGTTCTTCGTTCATCTTAAGATCAAGCCCCAACGGCCCTTTGGATCAACAAACGTCAATAAATCCATACATCCAACAGTTCTTCAAGATCAAGCCCAAAAGCCCCAAAGATCCGTTCATCACTGTTCTTCAAGGTCAAGCCCAAAAGCCCTTGAAGATCTGTTCATCGCCGTCAATCAAGATCAAGCCTCAACAGCCCTTGAAGAAACACTCATCCTCAAGATCAAGCCCCAACGGCTCCTTGAAGATCCGCTCAAATCCACCTTCAAAGATCAAGCCTACAGTCCTTGAAGAAACTTCCAACAGTTCATCTAAAATCAAGCCTCGACGGCCCTTGGATCAACGAAACATCCACAAATCAACACCTTACGGAGATCGAATCAGATGATCAAATTTGAGAGAGATTGTAACCCAAAATCATCAAATACAAACATTATTTTGTGCACGTTGTTCTTGTCCCTTTCCTTTCAGGAAATTTTCGTGTTCACAAATTTGGCACGCTCGGTGGGACAATCTCTACCTCTCATCTCTTTCTCCATTCAAGAAATTCAAGCACATTTCCAAAATCAATGGCATCAAGCAAAGGACAAGCCGTTCTCGCAAAGGGAAGAAGCCTGAGCACTTCCGCCATGAACGGAGCATCCATTGACGCCACAACTACTCTTCAACAAACCACTTCAAAGTCGATACCGTTGAGGGAGCAAGTGGAGCATCAAAGACGCAAGCCCGTCATCAACCTAACCTCGCTGGGGGCATCGAAGCATGTCGTTGAGGCACATCAGATTACATCCCAAAACGGCCAACGGGGTCCTTCGTCAGCATCCTGGATGTCTAAAGGGAAGTCACGTCTATTGGTTGCACAAGTCATGATCATCGACGTTACCTCCATCGAAGAACAACTGGCTCAAATGAATGAAGCGATCCCAAGGCTAACACGGATTGTGGAAGAAAAATACTTGCAAATCGCTGCACTCATCAGCCGACTGAAGCCACAGGACGGCGAGAAACCCGACCCAGAGGATGATCCACTAAAGGGAGAAGGTGGCGGAGAAGAAGAGCCTCCGGTGGAGAGAATCAATGTGAAGCCGGAGCCAGACCAAACAGCGGCACTCATGGGATCTCTTTCTATCCAGCAGATGCAGGAGATGATCAACAACACTATCAAGGCATAGTACGAAGGGAGCTCAAATACCTCCGGGATGTACTCGAATCTGTATTCAAAGAAGATTGATGCCTTAAGGATGTCGATGGGTTATCAACCACCAAAGTTCATGCAATTTGATGGAAAGGGAAACCCGAAATAGCACGTTGCCCACTTTTTTGAAACTTGTAACAACGCAGGGACCGAATGGGACTACCTCGCTAAGCAGTTTGTGCGCTTGCTGAACAGAAACGCATTTGAGTGGTACACGGACCTAGAGCCTGAGTCCATCAACAGCTGGGAGTAATTGGAGCGGGAATTCCTCAACCGTTTCTACAACACCTGCCGCACTGTGAGCATGTTAGAGCTAACGAGCACAAAGCAGTGGAAGGACGAGCCATTTATTGACTACATTAACAGATGACGCACTCTAAGCCTCGACTGTAAAGACAAGCTCTCGGAAACCTCTTCAATCGAGATGTGCATCCAAGGCATGCAATGGGGTTTGCAATACATCCTTCAAGGCATTAAACCATGGACCTTCGAGGAATTGGCCACTCGCGCCCATGACATGGAGTTGAGCATCACCCATTATGGGAAGAAGGAACCGATCGCCGACTACAAGAATGACAAAGTTCTTGAGACAAAGGTGGAGAAGGCTGCGTGGAAATCCACCAAGGAAGCAATGACGGTCAACACAGCTCCCATCAAAATCCCTACACGAGGCAAGGCCATTCAAGCTGAAGTTTTTCGTGATCAAGAGATGCGTAGACGCACTTTGAAGGAGCTTGAGGAGATGACTTATCCATTCCCCGACTCTGATGTGGTTGCCATGTTAGAAGACTTGCTGGAAAAGAAGGTGATTGGTTTGCCTGAGTGCAGACGGCCAGAAGAGATGAATCGCACCGACAGTCCAAGGTACTATAAATTCCACCGTTTCATCAGTCACCCGACAGAAAAGTGCTTCGTGCTGAAAGATCTCATCATGAAACTGGCTCAGAAAGGAATCATCGAGCTAGATCTTGACGATGTGGTGAAGTCAAACTATACCACCGTCACTTCTGGCTCTTTCGACTCAAAGTCTTTACCTCAACCGCTGGGGGCATGCTCCAAGTCAAGCGAAGTTGAAGGATGGATTCATGTCACTCCGAAGAAATTACACAAGAAGCATACGTTTCCTCCACAAGTTCACCAATGGGAAAGGAGGCAAATCAGCTCTCATTAACCTCCAAATTTACACAAAAATGTTGAGGATGATGAAATTGCGACACAAAGATCGTCCGTTGCCATCACGATGCGCAACTTCTTACCTGAAGACTTCTCCAATCACTCGGTCAATGCTCTTTGCTATGAAGATTGTGAGGAACGCCTCTCCAAAATTGCTTGACAAATTCACCAGTTCTCCTCGCCCGCACGAGTCTAAACTGCATGGCACAAAGCTCCTGGTTTGCACGAGCATAAAAGGCAACACCAATGCTCTTTGTTCGCACGAGCCTAAACTACATGAACCAAAGCTCTTGGCCTGCAAGAGCATAAACTGTGTACGGCGAAATCATCATCAAAATCATTGTTAAATTCATCGCTCATTTGAACTACGTCATGACTTGATCCCTCCTCAACCGAGGGTACGTAGGCAACTTGAAACTTCAAAACTTCAAGTACAGTCACATCACCAACAAAAAAAAAACACAAACACTTTGAAGAATAAAAAGCAAGTTCAGAATATGAAGACTTTATTTCTTTAAAATGAATGATTTGGTTACAAAGCTGTATTACAAAGGTGAGCATCACACCAACATCACCACTGAGGAAAGTTGTAACCAAAAGACACTACACAGTATAAACTCGCTGCAATCTTTGACACAACCTCACACGGTAAAAATGACACGCTGGAACAAGCTCCAAGCAGCAACGACAAAGAGCCCACGGCAAGCACCAAGGTCAATGTGCCCACCAACGTCACCACCAAGGAAAGTTGTGACCAAAAGACACTACACAGCATAAACTCGCTGCAGTCTTTGACACAACCTCACACGGTAAAAGTGACACACTGGAACAAGCTCCAAGCAGCAACGGCAAAGAGCCTACGGCAAGCACCAAGGTCAATGTGCACACCAACATCACCACCAAGGAAAGTTGTGACCAAAAGACACTACACAACATAAACTCGCTGCAGCCTTTGACACAACCTCACACGGTAAAAGTGACACACTGGAACAAGTTCCAAGCAGTAGGACGACAAACAGTGTAACAAGGACGGTGGGCAGTGCAATGATGCGCATCGAATAATGCAACGACAGTGGTGCAGCAAGCACGGCAAAGAGGCAGCTACAAGACGGTCCTTCAAAGCACACTACAGTAGCAAAGAAACCAAAATGCTACGCAACCCCGCAATGGTTACTCAAGCAGTTTCTTGCACTGCACGGCGACGTTACCACCAAGGGGAGAACTGTGACCAAAAGGCATTACACAGCGAAGCCCCGCTGCAGTCTCTTGCACAGCACCACACGACAGCGCACCACCGAGGGAAAACTGTGATAAAAAGGCACTACACAGCGAAACCCCGCTGCAGTCTCTGGCACAAGCACTAGGCAGCTTGCTTACTCTGCCACCAACTACCACATCTCTGGAAGCCTCGTGAGGGCCTGGCACCATGCTCTATCTTCTCAAAATTAAAGATTCCTAACATTTACAAAAAATCACCAAAAAAAAAAAGAATCAAGGTTAGCAGGTGAAACTCAAGGCCCGAGGCATAAACTCTTATGCATTGGGCTTCATTG